GAAATATCAAACAATTAATACTTTAATGAATACAGAATACAAGATGAAATAAAAAGAAGTAAATAAAAATAGCTGAATTGAATTCTAATGAAAATCCTCAAAAAAAAATTATTAAAATCCAAATTCCAAAACCTCCAATTAATTAACAACTCGGGAATCCATCTAGTGGACCCCTAATAAAAAATCCCAACTGTAAATGAAATAACTAAAATACGATCCAAAACTAAAAAGTAAACAGTCCTACGTAGTCGATGGAATAGAAGTCTGTATCTGCTCTGCACGACCAAGCTTTAACCCTGGAACTGACAAGCATCTGAAAAATAAAAGAGTGGGTTAAGCCCACATGCAAGTCCTGATCTACTACGATCCAAATAGGAATCTGATACACAGATACATCTTAGATAGACTCAACAATATCTAGAGTAGTCCATATATGTATATATTACACACTATAGGACGCTCACTAGTCCAATAGGTCTGTCTCAGCCTGAGTAGAGGTACCATGCAAATCACACATTACGTGGTCATGAGTATCTAGACCTACCAGGGAACAACACCTCTGTCCAGCTATTCATCCTAGGCGATATACACACCCTAAACATGGTCCTGAGACTTAAGCTCATACCATGGTACGTTATAATAAGTATATAAAGTCCGTGTCCATCCTAATACAAGATATCATCCAACTGTTGTAGTGGCTTGATATATGTATTACGATCCATCCCAGAAAACCAAGTTATGTCATTCAGTTATTTACTGACCTGACACTAATAAGGGTTGGACTTAACCTCTATTGTTGTTCCACACCTTAATCCATTTTAGGTAGGACTTAGTATCTGAACTAATCCATCCGTAGTATGCCACCGTCCCATATCGGTGCATACAGTCCTCCAAATAGTATAGTTAATAAAAGAACGCTAAATAATTAATAAACAACCTCTAAGATATGCATCAGTATAACTTAACACATATATTTTAATATTAGGCATTCATCATAGAGCCTAAACATATAATGTAAACTGCTAAAACAAATATAAACATTCACATTCTCTAAATTGTCCATAAGCTAATGCAGTTGAATAGCAAGGTGCATACAAATTTGGTCCAACATAAGTATGGTTAAATTCAAGTTATCCATGTCACTTATAATCCTATTTAAACATGATTAATCAAAATTAAATCACATATAAACAATCCTCCAAGTTCCAGAGTTTAAACTGAACTTTCAAAATGCAACCTGTAAGTTCTTTTCCTAGCTGTACACTGCCTCCTCCTTAATCCCTTTATGAATTATTGTTTAAACATGTTCTTACAGGTCTAAAACATTAACATGCATCATTTAAAACCATTTAAACAAAGTATCAAAACTCTGTACAGTCCCAAACACAGCCTAAAAACCAAAAACAAACATTCTGGGTAATATATAGCAGGCTCTCTCAAAATTGAGAGCCTGCTCTTTTAATGTGGGAGCCGGCTCCCTATACTAGGGAGCCTGCTCTTTCTAGCATGGAGCCGGATCCATGCTCCTTGGAGCCGGCTCCTTTGGTGAGGGAGCCTTATCTCTCTCTCTTTCCGAGGCTCTCTGTGTTTTCTACTCTGTCCTCTTCGCCTCTGGCGATACCCAGATCTTTGTAGTTTGTTTAACCATTATTCCAAGGTTCTATTTATGTTCCAGATTAATCTTAAATCATTAGTATTCAGCCACGACTTGAATTGAACTCAACGTTTGAAAAAAAAGACAACAGCTTCCAGTTGAACATTCTTAAGCAATAAACACAGATAATTCAACGAAATTAAATATTGTTTAAGCATGCATAATTGATGTGTTATAACATTCTTTTAATCCATTTCTAACATTTATTCAGTTCCTGGAGTCCACCTAAACATGCACAGAACACAGATTCAAGGAAAAGAATAGACCAAAAACTTGCCTTTGAGTTTCAGATTTGAAACTCTAATTCCACAGTTTTTGAATGCTACGTTAGTGTCCTATACTGCAGGTTTACTCCTCCGGTGATTTGGTTCCACCTAGAAACAACCCTGTTCCTTCCTCCTTGAACTGCTTTGTTAAGCACCCAAGGTCACTCTGTGTTTCCTCCTTTGTATCTCTCTGTGTCACAGACTTAAGCTTACGTCTGTTCTCAAACCCTAAACCCCAGTAACATTATCTATTTGTAGGCTCAAACAATTACCCTACTCCGTGTAAAATTAGAGCCAAAACCCTAATTCTAATCCTACACCAACCTTGAGTCAGCGACGTTCCCATAATGTGATAAAACCTATACTACCGTTAAAACAATTTTGCACTTAAACAAATATACAACTAATTAAATTAATAAAAATAATATTAATACAATTAATGCAAAAGAATACAATTAACCACTTAAACAAATAATTCCAATTAAGTAAACAAAATAAAACAATTAACAATTAATTCCAATTAAATAAGTAAACCAAATAAAACAATTAACAAATAATTAAATAAAACAATTAAGCAAATAGTTAAATAAAACAATTAAGCAGATAATCAAATAATAATAAATTAAATTCCCGGAATATCCTTTTAAAATCAGGGGTAGTACAGCAAATGACTGCAGAACATTAATGATAAGATCACTTTTAGAATTGTACATTCGACAAACAAAAATCTTTTATTTGCAGGAAGAATTCAACTTATTAGAGTTGTCCTATTCTCAACTCAGATGTACTGAAGCTCTAAATTCATTCTACCAATAAGCATTATTTATGAGCTTGAAAGTATCTTTGGTGCTTTCTAGTGGTCTGGTCCAATGCTCAAAAAGACATATGCTAAAGTTGCGGGGAGCAAATGTTGTCTGCCTAAACGATCTGGGGGACTTAGTCTACCAAACCTGCATACATAGAATGAGAGTGTTGTTATGAAACATTTTTGGCACAGCTCAAAGACATGCTTTGGGTAAAATGGATCCACACCTATCTTCTCAAAGGTAGAAGTATTTAGGATATCAAAGTTCCTGGTCAATGTTAATGGAGTTGGAGAAGACTTCTTGGCCTCAGAGATACAATCTACCCTCTTATCATGCTAGAAATTGGTGATGGAACCTCAGCCAATTTCTGGTTTGACAACTAGTGTTCTCTTGGGCCACTACAACATCTTGTTCAACCACAACAAATAGCAGAAATAGAATTTGGCAGCATGACAAAAGTCAGCTCATTCATCACCTCCAACACATAACCCTTCCCTACAACCATCCTCAAGCACCTACCACAGCTGAAAAGCATTATCTCATTACCTAACCTCAATCCTAGCATCAAAGATAAGTTCATTTGGCTACCCTCAAACTCCAGTCAGTTTTTTATCTCCAAAACAATGAAACACTTTAACCAACAACACCCTACCCTGCCCTGGCCACACCTAGTTTGGTCCAAACCATGCATTCCTAAACACTCCTTTACACTTTGGGTTGCCATTCAACAAAAGCTACCAACTCTAAACAGAAGGTGCATAGCTCACATCAACTCTAAATTGTGTACTCTTTGCAACACTGAAGCTGAATCACACGATCACCTATTCTTCTCTTGTTCATTTGTCAAACCTTTATGGAGCTTCTTTCAAGCAAAATGTGGATTCTACATCCAGCCATCCTCTTGGGCACAATTTATTGTTTGGGCATCACACCATTGGAGTGGGAATTCACTATTCCAAATCAATGCAATTTCCAAACTGGGACATGCAGCCCTTGTCTACCATGTCTGGACTGAGAGAAACAACAGAATCTTCAAAAAGAAAGCACTCAGTTCCAACTCAATCCTACACCTATTCTTGTAGACAATTCGAGCAAAGCTACTCTCTTCCACAATCACAGATTCCCTAAACACCACCAGAATTGCTTTGGAATGGGAGCTACCTGTATCAGTGGTTCGTCCACCTGCTGAACCACCGGACTTGAGGTGCCAGATTGATCTCACCACTGCTGGAAATTAGTTCCATGATCACCGGATTGTTGTGCTGATCTTTACTATCACACAGTATTGTTGTTGGGCAGAGTTTTGTGTCTTCAATGTTGTATCTTTCCCATTGGGTCTCTTGGGCTGTACTTGTATAGTGTTCTATATATAGTTAGCATTGGCCTAACTTTTGGGCTGTACCTTTTCCATTATGAATGCTAAATTTAACTTTCAAAAATAAAAAAAAAATGAATAGCTCACAAAAGTTAGTGTATGATCAACCTTACGGTAGCCTTACTCTACAAAATATATATATGTGTGTGTGTGTGTGTGTAAAAGATTCACGGATTTTGATTTTAATTGGTTTAGCTATGTAATACTACTACTGATATGGTGGTATACCTCTCAACAGAATAAGAGATTTGTAAGGCAATGGAAATTACACTAATATGAAACCACATGGGACATAAAGCTGATTTTAGTATCTTCATTTCAATTTCAAATATATAAACATATATACATGTAAAATACATACTATTTTTTATTTTTGGAGAGTTGGAAGTTAAAGTACGTAAAGACACTCTCAACCCTCTCTTATCTTTGAATAGGAGTCGGAGAGTAATAAATCTCATATCACCCTTTTAAATAATAAAATAATTTTCCTCACCAATCGGCCCAGGCTATGTGGCCGAATTAGAAAAATTATTTTAGACTGCAAACACACGGACATTGTGACAATATGATCATTTTTTAAAGTGTAAGAATTTTTCTGGAACAGATTGGGGGTTTGTGACTAAAATTTGAAAGTATTGAGAGTTTTCGAAATTAGCCCCCTCTTTTTTTTTTCTTTTCTTTTTTTTTTTTAAAGAAAAAAAAGACCATAATAACTACTTAAACACCAATATTTTTCCCGCGTCAAAGAAGCCTATAAAATAGACCTAAACAAAGAAAAAAAAACCATAATAACTACTTAACACCAATATTTTTCCGGCGTCAAAGAAGTCTATAAAATTGACCTAAACAAATGACCAACTTCATTTATAATCCAAAAGACTCTTCCTTCTAACCTAGTCATGGCACCAAAATTATTTCAGCCCTTCTCATGCATTTTCCTTCTTTTCCTACTTCTAATTCCTCTCTTTTCTCATGCACATTCTTCCCACTCAAAGGCCAATAACTCATCACCATTTGAATTCCTCAAGCATTTGCAAGGGTGTCACAAGGGTGACAATGTTAAGGGCCTCCATAAGCTAAAAAAATACCTTGAAAATTTTGGTTATCTGAGCAATCTCCATTCTAAAAACCAAACTCATTTCAACAAAGATGACTTTGATGATCTCTTAGAGTCCGCCATCAAAACTTACCAGCTCAATTATCATCTGAAAGCCACCGGAATATTGGATGCTCCAACGGTATCCAAGATGATGATGCCCCGGTGTGGGGTTCCAGACATCATCAACGGCAGGAATTGGACGCAAGCTGCAGGCAAGAAGGGGCATCATCATGGCCGTGGTCTCCACACTTTCCATACAGTCTCTCATTTTGCGTTCTTTCCGGATCACCCTAAATGGCCGGCATCAAAGACACACTTTGCCTATGGGTTCGCGCCAAACACTCGCATGGACGCCATTGGCAGCGTGATGCGAGCTTTTGATAAATGGGCTTCTGCAACACACTTCACATTTGCACCGACTCAGGACTATGCAAATGCTGACTTAACAATTAGTTTTCACAGTGGTGATCAAGGAGATGATCACGCATTTGATGGCGCTGGCAGAACCCTAGCTCATGCTTGGGCGCCAACTGATGGAAGGTTTCACTTTGATGCAGACGAGACATGGTCTGATGGTGCAACTTCGGATGCATTTGACTTGGGGACAGTTGCTTTGCATGAAATTGGACACCTTCTAGGACTTGATCATAGCTCGGTTGAGAATGCTATCATGTATGCAGGCATTGCTAGTGGCATCACAAAAGGTTTGCATGAGGATGATATAATGGGAATCAAAGTTTTATATAATGTTTGAGAAGTGAGTGATCATTTGTTTTTGCATGTTTCAAGTACTAAATTATGACGGGGTCCAATATTGTGAAATAAAAGAATTAAAGCTACAATTTTTATTTACAAAAGAAAAACAAAAACTTGAATCATTTCCAGAGCTCCAATGAAAGTATGCTTTGGTTTGAAGCCAATTGGAGAATATTGGAAGCAAATTCCGATTATTCCGGTAAATCGGAGTCAAAATTCTAACATTGATCTGAAAAGAAGATGATAGGCAATGATACAAAGTAAAAGAGTTGGACTCAATTACGATAAAATTATTTATGGATTTTAGATTGATACGGAGTAATTTATTTTTTTTGTTCCAACTGATGTTATAATATTTTGCAACATTGCAATCTATCACACGAAAATTAAAAAATATATATATTTCAAAACAACTTAAGTTTTTGGGTAAATAAGGAAACGCCCACTCGTTACAGTTAATATGATGGTTAGACTCAGTCCTTAATCCAGTTCCACGCCAAGCGTTCCGCTCGAAAGGCGTTCGGATGAGCCACCCGCGTAGCCAGAGTGGCCTGACTGCAAAAAAGGCGTTGCGAGTTCGGGTGGGAATGAAAAGTGAGCGCTCACCCATTCCTATTTGATCAAGTCTATCATATGGTCTTCCTTTAAATGGAAAAAGATCTTCAAGGCAATGCTAGCCAATGACCCTAGCCTGTTTGGTCAGGTATGTAATACTAATATGGTTGCATTGACACCAAAGCCTGCACCGCCCGCCAATGTCGATGGTCTTTAAGGAGTAATTCCGCGTTGTGAGACCCAATTAATTCAAAAGTAGAACATGAACTTTAACATCTCTCAATAAATTAGTAGTCTTGGGGGAGTCCAACACACACCCAACACCAACACAAGGCTCCTACAACAAACACTTTACAATGCCCCTAATCTCTTTCTTCTTTAGGAGCTTTCTGTGAGATATATTTTTACAATCGGCAACTTTCTATAACAAAATAAGTCATAGTCGAGTTGTAATTTCAGTTACCATATCGACATTGACTGCGGAATAAGAAGGTTGTTCAGAAGAGGAAAGTATTGTTGATCATCGAAAAGGAAAGAACAACACATTAGGACATCATTTTCCACTTAGGACACAATTACCTGCATTATATATTTTCCAGAGTTTCCAACAATAGAAAATCCAAGTTCATATTGGATTCTGTCAAGTGGGAACCGGTACCAAGTTTGGGGAACTGGTTCCAGTAGCTGCAATTCGAGAAACTCTATTATGTCTTTTGGGAACCGGTACCAAGATTGGGAACTGGTTCCAGAAGTCCTTATTTCAAAAAGTATACAGTTTCCTTGTTCTGGTTAATTCCTTTTTTATCTAACTTTCCTTCTAAGTCTTATGCACGAATTTTTCTTTATTTTTAGAAGGAATAGGATTTTGCAAACCTCTATATAAACCATGTCATACACATAGGTTTATTTACAGCTTTTGATCTACAAATTCACTATTCTTAAAAGCCTTATGAAGATTATTTTTGCAAAAAATCAGAATTAATTTTTCTGTCATCTTTCTAGAACACATACACATAAACACTTAGTGAGTTTAGAGTTGTGGTGTTCAAATCCTAATCATGATCAAGTTGTTGTTGGATGAGGAGTCGCAAAGACAGAGGATTGTTAGCAGTTAGTGTTTGGTAGAAGGATATGGTGTGAGCCAGAGTCAAAGTTCAATGTACTTTGTTTCAAGTATAGTGGATCGGTTTACTTTGAACTGCACAGTCTACGAGATTTTTCCCATACAAACAGTTAACGCATTTTATCAACTAAAGTTTCCTCGCTAAAATCCTGGTGTCATCTCTAACTTTACTTTACTTTATTTTATATTGCATGATATTGATTTATTACTTACTAAAATAAAGAAAGTTGATAAAGACACAGATCTGTTTTAAAAAAATCAAAACTTTCTAAATATTCCGTTGCGTATGAGTCACAATTTGGTATCAAAGCAAATCTCTACACATTGAGTTGATCCTTACCGGAATGTTTTGTTTTGTTTTTCAAAAATTGTTTTCAAAATCATGTCTTATGCATTGAAAGAATGGGGTTATAATAAACATGGTCCTTTATTTGAAGGAGATAATTATAATTTTTGAAAATCAAATATGAGAGATTATTTGGAAAATTCTGATGGTAAAACTTAGGCAATAGTTGAATTTGGCTATACACCTCCTACAGTAGATACAACTGTGGATGGTAAAATAGTCAAAGAGTTAAAAGATACTTTTGTTTTTACTATTATTGAAACTTAGCGTAATGATGCTAATGGCAAAGTTTTATATTCAATTATTAATTCTATTGTTCCATCTGAATATGCTAGAATTTCTTATTGTAAAACTGCTAAAGAAGCTTGGGATATTTTGCAGGTTACTCATGAAGGAACTTCAAAAGTGAAGTTGTCTAAAATTCAGTTGCTTTCTTATAAATTTGGGAACATCGTGATGAAAGAAGATGAATCCTTTTCTAATTTTTATTCTAGTCTTCTTGAAATAATTTCTGAACTGCGTCACTTAGGTTAAAAAGTTAGTGATAAGAAAATCTATGAGAAAATCTTAAGGTCTTTACCTAAAAGATTCCAGATTATAGTTGAAACCGTCACTAAACATTGGGATTTGACTACCTGTAAAGTTGATGAGATGGTCGGTTCATTAAAAAATTTGAGATGCAGAACTCTGAGTTAAATCAGAAGGAGAAAAATCTTGCTTTAAAATCTACACAGGTTGAGAATTTTGTGGATGACAACTCTAATGATGATCTTGCATTTTTGTCAAGGCAATTCAGTCAGATTTTGCAACTTGGACAACGAGTTATTGGAATCTTCGAGAACAATACGTTTTCTAATTGGTTGGAAGCCAAAAGTCTTGGAAAAAAAACGAAAGATTTGGGGAAGACGTACATATTTTAGAGTTGGAAACTATATGATAACTCCTTGTAGGTGTTGGAGATTGATATGGTAACTGCTTGTAGGCAAATTAATCCTTGTCCAACAAGGATTTGAATTTGAAAACTCTATAAATAGATATGGGTATGAGAGAGAAAATTGTAAAAAGAAAAAGAGAGTTGAGATTGTGAAATAGAGAATAGTGTGTAATCAAGGCTCTGCTTGGAACAGTTTTTCCAGAACAGTTTTCTATTCCGCAAGTTTTCAAAATTCAAAAAATCAATTTACACACTGCTTGGAACTGTTTTTCAAGAACAGTTTTTCAAAAAACAGAGTTAATAGAGTTAACAGTTTTTAGAGAACAAAAAAAAGATGTTCTCAGAATTCTCACAAAACCAAACTCATTTATTGAAAACACGGAGAACAGATTCACTAAATAAAAAAAGGCGTTCCTCTTCCTTGTTTATATCTTTCTCCTTTCCCCCTTTTTCTCTCTCTATGTATAGCTGAACTCTTCCCCTTCTGCCATGTCGCCAAATTTTTCAATTTCTGCAGATAGAGAAGATTCAATCAAAGCAACCACCCTGAAATTACTCCGTCATCGTAGCAATCATCTTTTCCATAGCAATCTGAGTGGCGAAGAACGCTAGAAAGGTAGTGATCTGAGAGGCGAATAAGCCAAAAACATCTTCAAGATCAAATCTGCTTCTGAATTTCATCTCAAGCCAAGAAAATCTTCAAGGCCCAATTTGCTTCTGCTTTAGATTTGTTGTCGGCTTCAACTCTTCGATGATCATACCGCCTCTTGAATGCCCAACTTCGCTTTCGCCAACGCATCGAGTTGGGATTAGGGTCAAGTTTAGGATATCAGCGATTGCTAATTTATCTTTTTTAATGCTAGGCCTTTTAATTACAGTATTTAGGGATCCATTTTTGTACATATTTAATGTCATATATTATTTAATGTTGCTTAAAATTATTGAATATATTAAAACAGGTGCTTCTGAATTATATACACAAGTTTGATATCTAAATTTTTTTTCTTAATAAAAGAAGATATTATGGAGCTTTTTGTTATTATTATTATTTTTTTTCCTTTATTATTATTATTATTGAGTTATGGAGATTTTTCTACTTCCTCAGGAATAGATTTAAATTCATATTCTCTATTAGTCTATAAATGTCTTTATTAAATTTTTTAAGTAATTAATTTAGTGTTAGTCAATATATATATATATATATATATATATATATATATATATATATATAAAATTAAAATTTTAATTACTAAAAAAATTTAATTATATATCACTAATATTGTATAAATAAAAATGTCATAAGATGGTGATTTTGTTGTTGAAATGAATGGTAACAATTAAAAGTGCATATCTGAAAAAAAAAAAAAAAAAAAAAAAAAAAAAAAAAAAAAAAAAAAAAAAAGAAAAAGTGCATATGACACTTGAAGCAATTAATGTAACTCTTTTATTGTATTTCAATTTAGTCAAATTTTAATTAAATTTGATATATATATATATATATATATATATATATACATTAATAGTTAATATCTTTATTTAAAGAAATAAAAGAGTGATGTATAATATACTTTTTTTATTTTCTTAGTTCAGAAAATTAGTTTCAAAAACTGATATAACCAAGTAGTTTTATGAGTTTTTGTTTTTTGGAAATTGTTTTGTAAATTCTCTTAACCAAGCAGGCTTGAAATCTAAAAAAACTAAAAATAGTTCTCTGAAAATTGTTCTTGAGAACTGTTTTCATAAATCCATTCCAAGCATGGCCCAAGTTTTTGAAGTAAAATTAGTCTTTCTTCACCCGTGGACTAGGCAATTTGCCAAACCACTTAAATCTCATTTTTTTTTTGCTTGTATGATTTTTTTTCTGTTATATTTGCCAATTGTGTGTGTGAAACCCTAACAAGCGAGAGGATCACGTGGGCATTATTGATCAGAAGGAAGACGATGAACCAGAGGGTTGCGACGCCTCCGTTCTCATCTCCTTCACTCCTACAACAATGCCGAACGCAACGTTGACACAACCTCTCCCTCCCTGGCGACGCCTTCGCAATCGTTGTCCGCGCCGAGACTGCCCTTGAGCTCGCCTGCCTTGCAATTGTCTCCTAGGCCAACATTATCGCCGTCACTACCCGGGAGCTCATCACCATGATGGCTCGCCTGCCCCGCCGTTGTCTCCTTCACCTGCGTCGCCGCCGTCTCCAGTGCCGAGATCCTCATCGGTGTTTGTGGTGGTGTTATGCTTGTGTGTGTGTGTATATATATATATATATATATATATATATATATATATGTCTGTGTTTGTATATATATATAAATATATAAATATATATCTATATATATACATATATATAGATATATATATATATATGTTTTTGTTTGTATATATATATGTCTATTTGTGTATATATGTATAATTTGTAAATTTATAAAATTTTGAGGGATATTTTAGTCTTTTAATCTAATTATTTAGGTTAAAGAGTTATTTTGACAAAAATAAATGGTATTTAAGTTATTTAACATCGTATCAGAACTGTTTAACTAACAGATGAGGTGTGAGTGAAAAATGGAGTAAAAATTAGTAATATGAGTGATAGTTAATTTCAAAAGAGATTTAAGGGTGAAAAATGGCCAAACCTAAGGGGGTGTGAGTGAAATTAACTCAATAGATTTTTAATGAATTTGAGTAACTTTTATTGAATTTTTAAAGCCCATTAAGTATATTATTTATACATGGTAACTCATTGTATTTATTAAAAAATATTAGAGCATCTCCAGCAGTTTATTAAAATATTATTTTGTGTAAAATATACACTGCCACGTATGATGTGTAAATTTTTATCTCAAATATTCTGTTAAAATACATTGCCACGTCATTAATGTGTAAAATTGTTATGTATTTTACACAATCTTTTTTCACGACCATATCAGCATATTTTCTTTTTCCTCCCATTAAAGAATCAATTGTATATTAAATAGGTTTGTAAAAGTTATGTGGGGCTTGGCATGAAAACCATAGGACACGAGATTCAGATTTTTTGTCCAAAAAAAAAAAGATAAAGAGACATATACATGTATACGGTTGTGTGTATTCATAGAAAGACTGTAGATTGAGGGAGATAGATGGAGAAGATGAGAAAGTCGGTTCTAGGATAAGAGAGAACTTGCATTTTCAGACTTTTGGCTGATTAAAAGCTTCAAAAATAGGTTGCTTGTTTGCGATCAATTCCTATTTGGAAGCGCTTCCTCTTTGCCGTCTCGTTCCCTAAAGATAACCGCTTTAAAAAAATGTAATAAAAACCCTAGGGAAAAAAGAAGTGATAAGATTGCAATCTTATCTTTTAGAACCAATTATAAGAATAATGATTCTACTATTAGATACAAATATGTACCTCCTTTTTTTTGTTTATATTTTCAAGGTATTTGAACCTATATTTTTCAAGAGAATAATAAGCCTAAAAGTTGTGTTTATTAAATATAAATTAGAAATTGAGTAATATATATATTATAATATATATTATTATTTTATTGCCGTATTCTTTCCATGTCCGTGTCTAAGCCACACAATCCTTCTCAACACGTGTCACTCTCATGCTCCAAGCGGGTTCCCGCTCTCACGCTCCGCGCGCGTTCTCATCAAATTCTCATTATTTATGACTTAATTCTCCCGCTCTCCCGCTCCCGCTCTCAAAGCCAAAATTCGATGGAAAGTACCTGCACTCCTTAGTACAAACAATACTCGGTGAGACCACCCTGGATCAAACCCTAACAGATGTCGTAATTCCAACTTTTGACATCCAGCTTCTCCAACCTACCATATTTTCAACCAACAAGGTATAATATACAGAAAGATTGACATGAGTGATCATATTTTAATTACTGTAATTATGAATTTTAATTAGTCTGATTTTGAGAAAAAAAAAAAAAAAAAAAAAAAAAAAAAAAAAAAAAAAAAAATTCATGTTTGCTAGGTAGGCAAAGGTTAATGCCGCGACGAATGCTAGATTATCAGATATATGCCTTTAGCACCTCAGCTGCTCCAACATTTCTCCCACCTCACTACTTCCAAACAAAAAATGCAAAGGGACAAACTCGTAATTTTAACCTCATCGACGTCGCGTCGGCTCCCTTGCTGCAAATAACCCTGTAAGCATCCAAAATTTATGTTTTGAATGTGTAGTCAAGTATTTCACATTGCTTTATGGAAAAGACTAGATTTCTCGATCTTTCACTTAATTCGTACTCACTTGGTATTGAATTTTTACTGACGCAACTTGCAATCAACCATATATTAAAGGAGATTGTGCCTAAGACGGACTATGTCAACGTGATGCCAACGGATGGAACTAGTTTCCTAGTGATCTCCCTTGGTACTTGTATTGCAAAACATGAATGCCGGTAAGTGGGGTTTGCTAGACTGGCTTTGCATCAATGGTGGCACCCCTTTAATTGATGCCCTAACACAAGCTAGCTCTGATGTGGTTGATATCCATGTATCTTCTCTCTTCCAAGCTCTCCATGCCGAAAATAATTATCTTCCCATTCAGGTAATGAATAACAAGATTAAAAGGTCTTATTTTCTTTACAATTTCATATCATTTTCTATAATTTTACAGCTCAGACATGGTTTACAACAAAAGTAGAATTGATAAAAGATTTAGGAATGAGTTCCTTTTTTGAATAAATAGATTAATTATCCAAAAAAAAAAAAAATCAGCAGCCCTAAAGTAGTTGAGACTTTATTTATTTTTATTTTTTAGGTATGCTGTTGAGGTTTGAACCATTTTCTCAATTTAATTCTACACTGTTTCTAATCTTACACTATAGACATAGTTTGACGATTGACTCATTCCTTGCTAGCTAGCAGTAATAACAATTCAATATTTTGAAATAGTAAGAACTAATCAAAATATTTTATATTAATTTGTTGATAATTAAATGACATTAAAATGAAGTGATTATTTTGTATGAATGATCAGGATGATACACTGATGGGTGATGAAGCATCAGTTGATGTGGCGGAAGAACCTGCAAAAACTAGTGCAGATTGGGAAGCAACTGCTAAACAAGCGAGTGTCGATGGTGAACTTGGAGACAGGCATGTTCGAAGAGCTAGAGACAAAGGGCACCCTCACTCGCTTAGCCAAGCTACTGTCAGATGAATGCAGGCGCCGCCAAACCCGGGCCGGCCCTGGCCCAAGGCGGTCGCCTATGGCCTCAACATTTAGAGGCCTCAAAATTTTCAGGCCCATTAGTGATAGGTTCAAAGAAAAAAAAAAAAAAAAATTTAGGCCCCTTACCATGATTGATAGGCCCAAATAAAAAGAAAAAACTTAGGCCCTTTCTATGAGTGACAGACCTAAATAATAAAAATAATAATAATAATAAAAACTTAAAGTACTGCGATTAAACAAATTCACTGCCCATTCAAAATTAGGGCCCTTAAAAACTTGGTGATTAAATTCGAAATTGAATATAACTCTTTACTACTTTATATGTATATTAGTGTGTATTTTAGTAATTAAAAGCTTCAAATTTAAGTTCGCCTAGGGTCTCTTAAGATTTTGTCAATCTCAGGGCCGGCCCTGCGCCAGACCATTGTTTCTACACATTAGTTTATGGAAACAAACAAGAGTAGGAATGATACTTATATAAGTTTGAATTTTTTTTTTTTTTTTTTCCTAAATGGTATAAGTTTGAAATTTTAAATAACCAAGTCATATTTTTATATCTGTCGATTTTAAGTCGGGGTTGATTTCATTCAAACTTTAACGGGATCACTATTATATTGATCCCATTAAAGCTTTTTTTTTTGGGGGGGGGGGGCCTCTCCTTAAGTGCTAGTTCTCAATAAACTCTTTTGCCAGGTTGGAGTAGCAAGGCGTACTCTCCTTAAGTGCTAGTTCTCAATCTCACCGAAGTTGAGTTCCGGACATAATTACATAAATAATAGGGACAAAAGCAAAAAAATATTTCTAAAGTATATTCATGTAGTACTTTTATACCTTTTTTAAAAAAGTGTGCAAAAAATATTCATAATCTTTTCACATTATGTAAAAAATACTCAATCTGATATAAATTAGTGTCGTAATACCCATTTTCTCATTTTACTCTTCCAAAAATACTTAAGGGGTTATATTTGCTACTAATCTCATAGTATAGGGATGTTATGTGTACATTACCTTATATATATTTTTTCAAACATTTTTCTCTATATATATCTTTAAACATTTTTTTAAAAAAACTTTAAGAATTTGTAGAACTAGGATTTGAATTTTTTGAGATTCTACTTTACTCTTTTCTATTAATTTTTAAACCAAAAAATAAAAATAAAAAATAAAAAAATTCCCAATATCAGTATGCACTGGTTTTCGAAATTTGGAAAAATTTTATTTTCTTTAGTTTGCACTTTATTTTTGTTTTTTATTTTCTATTTTTATTTTTACTTTTCTTTTATACTTTTATTTTTATTTCATATTTTTATCTTTACTTATCTATCGCTGGCGTCCTTTAATAGTGTCATTTTTTATCATTTTATAAAATTATTTATTTTTATATATTTTTAAAAAATAGTTTAGTAAGGGTAATTTAGTCAACTTAAGGTTTAAATTTATCAAATGGACCTATTTGCACCAAATTAAAATTTTAAAGGTATTTTTTGCATATGAGGAGTGTAATATGTACTGTAAGCATATTTTAAGAGTGTTTTCTACACTTGCTCCTAAATAATACACATGATTTTCAATCAATTTTATGCATTGGGAGTTTGCACATAGTGGTTAATGAGTTCATAGTGGCTAATGGATGGTTTGATTTTTCGTAAAAACTAAATAAAAAATAAAATTCAGTAAGTTAGATAGGTGTGGGGCAGTCGTTGCATTGCTGCAGAAAACTAGTATTTTAAAGGGTAAAATGCAACACCCTCGTGGTCCTCATCACCGCTGGTGCTAGAGGTGGTCGGCGTCCTCATCGCCGCTAATGCTAATTTTCTTTAAAAAAAAACCCTAACCCACTTTCCTTTCCCCCTCCTCTCTCTTTCAGCGATGTCGCCAGTTCACCCACATTCTCTCTCAATTTCACCACCTCCGAACTAGCCGTCATCCATGGTGAATGTCGGACTATGGATTTATGATTTGCGGTGGTATCACCGATTTGCCTGATCGCCAATTTTAAAGCTGATTCGCTGTCGTCCTGAACCGCTGTGCAAGTTCCGTCTCCTCCCCCGAGCTCAACCCCCGTAGTTGCCGCCACAACACAACCACCTATCATCACCTTCACAATATCTTCTCGCCGGATTCGCACGCAATCTCACCGCCGAATAGTCTTCACCAGCTATGCTCACACATGATAACACGGTAAGAAAAAGCCGACCAATCAATACCCAACTCTCCCCAACGTGCGCTCACGCGCCATGTTTTTATGATTAATGTCTTCACAGAATTGTTCATGATGGTAGCTCTGTTCTTGGATTTGTCTCCGATTTTGTTTCTTTGGTCTGTTTTGGATTGATTTGATCTTAATTGGTGCATCGGATTGACTACATGAGTCGCCATCGGTCATGGATTTGCGCGAACTGGCAGAGAAGAGACTAGAAAAGGCGGACGCATTATGTCTAAAGTCTAGACCAGAGACTTGTCGGCGTCGGTGGCGAGATGAGGTTGTCGTTGCCCTTGGTGGCAGTGAAGAAATTAGATGTAGCCTGGACCTCCGAGGCTGGAATTTATGCATACTTTTCTAGCGATAGTTTAACTGTGAGTGTGCTGGTGATTGCGCTGGTGTTGTTGCCTGGAGTTGTCGGTGTAGTGGAGTCGGCTCAATTATGTTGCCCAGAAAACTGATTTAACATGACAACGCCAGCGCGTAGAAATGGGCATAAGAGATTACAAGCCCTCATCAACAACTAAGTTGGGTATTAGATAAAACGATGCAGTTTCTCGAAAGTCTCCGAGCTTTTATGTCTTTCTATCTTTCCTGGCCGCCTTCCACGGCAGCATTTGTGTCATACGACTTCCCGATCGTTGAATCTCAACTCTGAATTCGATTTGAAGTCTAAAATTTTCGACTTTGGCCTCATCGATTATTTGGGGTTTTGATTCGAATTCAAAGAAATAATTTTTAATAAATATATGTCTGTGTGTGTATATATAGATATATATGTGTCTGTATCTGTATATATAAAATATATATGTGTCTGTACGTTTGATTATTTGGAGAAGATGAACAGTATTCTATAAAACGGTGCCGTTCAATTAGAGGGTAATTTTGTAATTTTGGTTTTTCAGTGTCAAAGTCTTGCCTGATGCCCTTAAATGTAACTTTTTAGTAGTTCAAGAGGACATTTATTAATTCAGAGAATTTTTGTGTAATTGATTGATAATTCAGAGTGCATTTTACCCTATTTTAAAATAAGTTGGTCAAGTGGGTAATATTTCTCCCTTTCCACTAAAACTACCAGATTCAATTATCCACTTTGCCCCCTTCACTTTTTAATAAAAAAAACCCTGTTTTATTTGAAAGCGATGTTAAGTGCAGTCGCAACTTTGACAGTTGCGACCCACTCATATGATACTGATAGAATGAAAATGACATTAATATCACAATATTAAATTAGATTATTGAACGGACAAAATTTTATAATATTTTTCTTGTATTTACATTGACATGATGGTTAATACTCTTCCCTTTTGGTTAGGCGGCTAAAATGAAAGAAAAGAAGAAGTTGTATGATCAAAAGACGCCTGCGCTGACTGTGCAAACACGAAATTTCAAACATGATGTCGTGGGTGGGTAAAAATGAAATCTTTTAATAATTTTAGAGGTAATAATAATATTTTATAGGTATAAAATTAAAAAAGAATAGCAAGGCATATTAGTTAAAAAAAAATATCCAGGGAGGCAATTTCCCATATGCATGTAGGTCCGCTAGATGATGTGATGGCTGTTCAAGCCTTCTAATAAACCAACCATCATGAGTTGGTCTGTGACCATATGAATATAACTTTCCGTGTTGATTTAACTGCGTCATTTTTTCAAGTGAATATTTATTTATTTTTATTTTAAAATTGTAAGTGGGAGAGTTGAATAAAAATTGAATAAAAGGATGACGTGATTAAATATGAATTACAGAATTAAATCCTGTATAATTTAGAAATTTTTAAGAAAAAACCATTTTTCACGTACTCACGCATCCATTCATGATATACAGTCAAATCAAAATATTTTCTTTAACCAACCAATGTTATTTAGTCTTTCAATAATACATAGTCAAAGCAAAATATTTTCTTTAACTAACCAATCCTGTTTAGTCTTTTCTAGGTATTTGAATAATAGAAATTACATTGGATAATAGCATTTTTAGTCATTCATACCTGTTTGAATAATATAAAGTCACATCAAAATATTTTCTTTAACCAACAAACCCTGTTTTGTGTTTTCTAGGTATTTGAATAATAGGAGTTGCATTGGATAATAACATTTTAATATGATCATCAACAGCTTAAAGTATAATATGTTAATATTTGTAAGCAACACAATATATGAGATACATTATTATACGTGACTCTCACACTCATAATAGTCTCATAAATGATACTCTAGAATTTATTAGTTTTGGCATGAAGCTCATTAATTCTGATGAAATAGTATGCAGCTTAAATGTGTTTAATTTTTGTCCGGTTAACTTCAAATTTTTGTTGTTTAGTTTGTAATTTTAAAAATAATTTTTAAGAATTTAAAAAATATATATATAAGAGAATTATAAAAGTCTAAATATGCCTTTATATAATTAAAATTAAAAAAAAATTAAATAAAACATGATTTTTATACGATTTTTCAATTTTTAATTTTCAATTATAACCATTCAAAAAAAAAATTCAATTATATCTATTTTTAAGGTTACAAACCAATCAAACCTTTTTAATTTCTAGGTAATGATTTGGAATAAATACTGCATACAAACGGTAATCCTAAACCAATTAATTTATGGTGCGATATATATATATATATATATATTTATATTTCCGGTAAAATGTTAATTTAAACAGCTTCTCATCATCAAGTCTTCGTCAATGCCCTTCTTTTTTTTTTTTTGATAAGGTAAGTCTTCGTCAATGTCAATCCCATAGCCATCAAACTGGAGAGCTACTAAGAGAGACTAAAAAAA